CCCTATTCTCTATAATGGTAATTAACAAAGTTGCAGTATTCCAGGTTGTATTAAACATTTGCCTTGACTATTTGGGGAACAGTCTTTATATGGATTTAAAAACTAACACAAAGTATTGCAAATGATTTCAAAAGCCTCACTGATATAAAATCAAGGTTGCAATGGGAACTCTTTGATATACTTTTGTTCCCTAAGGAAAAATAATGGCTAGTCGAGACTATCCCAATTTATAAAAAAAAAAAAAAAAAGATTAAGTATGTTAGATTCCTTTCCCATTTTTCAACATAATCTATGTCAATATAGTCAAAAGAAAGATGAAAAGAACTCGATTATGTCAGGTTCTCAATTACTTTTTACTGACTTAAACATGGAAACTGAATAAAAAGCCCTGTATATTAGTCATAGTCAAGGTTGGCCCCTCACTGTAAGTAACCTGGGAAAGATATATTAGCTGAAGTGGTAAGCATCTGGGAAAAGAAAAACAGGCTCAAGTATATTAAGTTACAAGGTCTAGATTTGCAGGTACATGCATAAAGACACTCTTCCAAAAACAGACATTATACTTGGTGCATTTTGTTTCAAGAGCAATAAGTAACTCAAATTTAGATGCAGCACAATACAGCCTTCAGCGTTGTCAATGTGAGTAAACGTGTCCCAGAATGGAATATGCAGGCAGAAGGCAGCTCGTTCACACTGGAACCTGAAAGGTGTGTTAGTCAATGGTACAGAGCCAGTTGTGCTGACAATGCCAGTGAAAAGAGATTATTTCATCTTGTCGAAGAAATCCAAGAAAACAGAACAAAACAAACTCTTCAACTCACCGTTCCTGTTGTGCCCAGCGAAAGATGGTTCATCTGTTGTGTCAGGGGGCCCATCATGTTTGCTGGCTGCATTGACATTGGATGGTCCATTGTCGGCGTAATCACAGCACCCTAGAAGCACACACAATGTCCGCTGAAAATACGTTCCACAGGAAGGAAACTTAAAACACATAAACACAGTAGACTGCGTTAACATCCAACTGTTTACTAGTATTGAAAAGGCTAAATTCAACCATGTATAATTTTTACACCCATCCATGATATTTTCTGTTCTAAATATATAGCACTAAGTGGCTTCCTTTCCTCCAATGTGGTTTATCTGTGATGTATTTAAAATGCCTGTTATTTATAATTCTAATATTTAATGTAGAATGTATTCTAAAATATCATATATATGCCCTCTCTCGTTGTTCTAAATACTAACTTCTCTTAATTAAAAATATACAAATATGATGGAAATTCTCTAGTTTTTATTGATATTGCATAAGACTTTTGGTTTACAACATTTATCTATGATTTATATGGGCAGATTTTGATCAGCTCAGTACAACCTACCACTGTGGTGATAACACTGGTCCAGATGTGTTCCTTCACTGGATCTCTCTGGACATACTAAAATCTAGTATAAATGTAATAAAAATTCAAGTAACTATTTCCCGTGTTTTAAAATTTGAATATTTTGACCTACTTTCTTTGTGTCTATGCTTTTGACAGAAGATACTAAACTGTTCAATGCCAGTCAAATACAACATTGCTATACTTTTCTAAAAATGTAAAAATATCAATTGTTTCATCAGGTGTTAGGAAAAGCATCCCTTTAGAATATGCTTTTTGATTTATTATAACTATTGGAATGAAAGAAATACTAGATATTAAAAAAAAAACACCCAAAAAACAAAACCCACTTCTGCCCATAGACAAAGCATCACATGGCTATTGAAACACAGCCAGGCCACATACCCCTTTCCTTTTCCTCTACCCTACTTTTCTGCCTTCATTGACTAATTTAGACAATGAAAGATATTTTAAAAAAATTGAAAATCTAGGGTTGGATAGGGTCTTTGCTATTATATTATTCCAATGTTTTATTTTAAAGATGATGACAAAGGCAGAAGCTCATGCTTATAGCGGCTCTTTTAAACACTCCATGGCAATAACATGGTAGGTATCTGAATGCTATTGTTTCCTATAAACATTATTTTTTCACGATGTGACTTTTTCTCCATATTTGTAAGTAAACGTTTTGAAGAAATAAAACTAGGACAGAGCCACGTAGAAGACAGGCTTTCAGACCCCAAACTAATTACCCACAGGCAAATGTTTCCTAAAACGCTTTTGCTCAGGATGATTAATTCCTCATGTTTCTATCCAAATCCAACTTCCTGACTGTAGGTGTTAAAAGATCAGGCTATCACTCAGCCTTTTTTATGGACTCCTCTCCATTAATATGGAGGAAGAATAGCACTTGAGCCAAATATTTGGAAATGCTTACTACTCAGATTCAACTTTGCTCCAAAAGGCTTTTGAGCAAGATTCAATCAGAAAATATGTTATTTTAAAGGTCTCTAGCTTGTAAATATACATGGTTGTGGATCTGTGTTGTTTGAATTTTGTGATGCTTCTGTGAATTGCTGTTCACCAGGATGCTTCTTGAATGAGACACATGATAAAAACTTTAACTTGTAATTCAGACACGCATCACAGTTTCTTCCTGCTGTCTAAATTGCTTTAGCAAAACCATCTTGATATTAAAAACAAAAATCACTTACTGGCCTTCATTTAAGAAGAACGGAAGTTCTTAAATCACTCAAATAAAAACTATATAGATAACTCAGACTTAAGACAAGTTCTAAAGCATTTTTTTCAACCCCAAAGTGGCACTATCACAATATTTTAATCCTTAGCAGGTGCAAGACTTCAATATTCTTCTTGAACTTGGGACCTAGTCTATCTTTTCAGAATATTTGTCCCTAGAGATTCTAACGTACAGCTAAACTGTCACAGTCTTGGAAACCCCTCAATTTCATCAGCCTGCGCTAGTCACATAAAGATTGTTTGTCATAAATCAGAGATAAAGACCAAATTGTGTTTGGTAGGAAGACTTTCCTTGCAACGCCCTAGGGGGTGACCTCATTCCCCAGTGTGGCGAAGCAGGCAGACTTGAGTCTTTGTTTGGAAGGCAATATGCAAATGAGATATGTGAGGATGTGACAGATGAATCAAAATCCATGCATGATAAGAATAGAAGGATTGAATGCCTGCATTTGGAACTAATTTAGGAAGGATTGTCTGGTCTCTTTAAAACATCCTTTCTCAGAAAGTGTTTGGGGACTCACTTGATTACAGATGCCACAGAGCAAGTGCTGCTTCTGTGTATAAACCAAACACCTGACAATCAAATGAAAGAGTGGGAAGGGACTTGTCATCCTTTGGAATTGTAACTAGCAGCACTAGGCAAGGAGTGTAAAACAATGTTAGGGAAACATCCTTTTCCTACCCAGACCAGCTATTACAAATGAATGAACAATAAAATAGCAATTCTTGGGGGAGGACTGGTAAGAACGTACATTCTTGTTCATATTCAATAAAGATGTTCAATGAAAAAGGATTCCCACAAATTATTAAGAACATTAATTTCGTAATTGTCTTAAGGGATGGAAGAACTTTACAATCAGTGAGTAAGGTAGAAATAGTAGTAGTAGGCAGGAACCTCTTGGAGAAACACATTTTCTTGACGACACCTTATCAGGGAAGGAAACTTAAAGAATTTGAAGCGCTGGCTGTTTACAAGAAAGAATGGTGTTTGCAAGTCACTTTCTTCATCAAAGAATGTCCTTTGTATTGTATATGCCATTTACAAAGAAGAGAGAAAAGAAAGAAGAAGAACAAAATATGGAAAAGAAAAACCTATGGTTGTTAAGGCCAAACTAGTGCCCTCACCTATAATTGTGTCTCATTAAATATACTGTCAAATCCATTTCTACCCAATGCATTTAAGCCATAGACTGAAGAGTGTTTTGTGACAGATGTTGCCAACACATTAAGGGTAATTTCATTTTCTCGAAATGTATAGAATGTGCTGTTTGACGGAGTTTGCTTGGCAAATGGCAAGGCAAAAGGAAACAGATTTTTCATTTTAGCATCTCCGGATGTCTGGGTTTGCTCAATGTTTCAGCGGCAAAGAAAAATACTGTAACATGCTGTAATTCCACTAAAAAGCACAATGACCAAACAGCTGATGGAAATGTCTGGTCTGTTTTAGCCACTGCCTCTGCAAAACATAGCTGCTCACGCTCAAGAGATGGAGGGCCGATCTGGTCGCCCTAGTTCTGAAATAAACAATTTCAACCGTAATTTGGAGAAAGTTTCCAAAGATCATTGATGTGGAGTAAACACAGCTGACCTAAGGCCAGAAAAGCATCTGTGTGGTTAACCTTCTGCCAATAGTTGAAAGAAATTTCAAGTCTTGGAGAGTTCATCAATATTTTAATTTCCCAAATGAAATCTAAGATGATTGGCAAATAGGGGAAATGTAGGCAGGCTCTCTTCCAACAAGAGCACACAGAGCTGGCTCAAAGGCTGTATGAAACTATTGCAAATTTGCTCATCAGTTTCCCTGTTTTCTCTTATTTCCTCTTGGTCTAGCTCTAGTTCAACACAGCAACCAGAGTGATCCTTTGAAAATGTAAGTCAGATCTTGTCACTCTGAGGAGTTAGATGGGATCAGGTAGTTTAGGACAAGGGCTCCAGGAAAAGAAGATGGTAGCTAAGGCCTGGAGTGGAGACAGTGGCTAGAAGAGGTCAATGAGAGGAGAAGGGGGACATATTTAATACTTTCAACAATAAAGATTTAAAAATAAAATAAAAAAGATCAATTAAAGCTAAAAAAAAAAAAAGAGAGAGAGAGAGAGAGAAGGTGAGCCAAGTGGTCAGGATGTGAGCAAGACAGGCAGAATGTACCAGTCAACTGTAGAGCTGCCCTCCCCTGAACACAGAGTGGGAACTAAAAGCAGGAAGACGAGGGCAAAAAGAGATTGGGTGGTGTTTTTTTTTGAGAGAGCCAATAGAGGGCAAGAGCAGGAAAATGTAAACCCCTAGACCAGTGAGCTTCTGAAGCGACCCTTTTTGGGACCCCTCTGGTGTGCCAAGAGATTTGTTACTTTCGCTGTAATAAACTTCACTTCCCATTGCTTACCGCTCCCTTGTCCTAGTTCACATTTGAGTCTCAACTCCTTTGCTCCAAATCCTCCAATGGCTATCCCTCTTACTCAGGACGAAAGCCAGTATCAGTGCAAGGGCCCAACAAAGCCTGAGATTAATCGCCCTTTTGTGCCTTCTCTGGTTTTCTCTCTTACCATTTTCTGTGTGGTTCACTTTGCAAGCACACTAGCCTCCTGGCTATTTCTCAAATATTTTCCTTCCTTCACCACTTTTGCATGTGATTCCCCTTCACCTGGAATGCCTTTTCCCAGATAATGTGCTCAAATGTCTCTACTCAACCCCTCTTCCTTTCTTCAGTTTCTCTCTCAGAGGGGATGTCCTGGCTTATAGATTAAGTCAAAATTTCAAAACCAGGGTCTTGAAATGACATCCTTTGAGCATCTAATTCAAGCCTTGTCTAATGATGGCCCTATCCTCGGACTGTTACATGAGGCAATCATGCCCTGTAGAGTTTGTTACAGTATCTGGCCAACAATTTGGAAGGCACCATACATGATACACATCGTTATCATTAGTATACTTTAATCAAAGTATTGTTCAAATTTTAATGTGATAGAATTGTACAAAGGTATTAGCAGAAAGAAAAATTGTAATTTGTGTAAATAAAGGATAGAGAAATGAAAAAAAACCCCACAAAATAAAACAAAAATAACCTCTATTAAAAGCAGGATATGGACCACAGTGAGAAGAACACCTACATGAATAGTCCTGCGGCTATCCGTACTCTAGCCCAACTAGTGACACTCCAACTTATGATCTGTGGACCTGCAGCAGCAAACTAAGGATTAGAATCAAAATCAGAGTCTCTTGGCTTTGTGTCTTCAAATCTGTGTTTTAATATCTCCAGATGACTGTGATGTACCTTAACGTTTTAGAAGCCTGCTTTGTCT